TGGCCTGTACGTAGGCGTTTCGTTAGCATGCATGCATGACACATTTTTCAAATAAACAAGAATTGAAACATTTGAAAGATATCTTGAAATCTCTATATTAATAAACGAACAAGAGTTGAAAGAAGCACTTGAATTAAAAGTTTAACGGAGCATCAGTACCGCGCCTTGTCCAATTTTATTCATCGTAAATATGTATTTTGCATCCTGCCTATACCGGTTATGGGAATGAATATTCCAAAGTTCTACTAGCACCGAGAGTAGCACAACGACTTGGCAAAAGCCACAATTTCCCGAAGAAAGCCATCTTAATAGTCATTTGCAAATTGAACACTTTCATTGACTCTCACGCGGTATTGAAGTGGTTAATATTGACAATGCTTGCAGTTTTGTTGATTTCCTTATGGCGACCGAAAGTATTTGTCGAAAATCAACTCGTCCAAAATGCAGCGAAATACAAGAAAAACAACCTTGTCAATGAAAAACCTTTAGCTAGTATCATTAAACAATACATGGGGAACAAAATAGGATGATTTTTATTATGCATAGTCTCATATTTTTTTCAAAAGAAGCAAAAATCTGTGACGTTCTTCAACGATAGTTGGCGCCAAATCACGACATCCACGTCCTCTTGACGTCCGCGTCTTGTTATCTAAAACCGTCTACTAACTACAGGCGCGCACACTATGAGCAAGGAAGCTTTCTTCGCATTTCCTGATTAACATTATCAGCGCAATTGCAAACATTCAGCCTGGTCACGCTACCTGTGGCGGAGGGCTCCATTTTCGGGAAAATTATTTCAGCTAAGTTGGGTACTGTAGTTTTCTACTAAACTGCAAACACGACAACATGATCTGTCACACCAGTACCGTTGGGAGATATTTAAAGTGAGCAGACCTAAAAACTAGGGGAGTGGGGGCACATGCTTCCCCGGAAGTTTGAAAAATTGAGGCTCGGAAATGCCATTTCCTGCACTTTCTGGGACCCAATTAAAAACTTGGCAATAAAATCTCTGCAAAAATGTTCTTCAATCATTGTTTTTAGTGAGTTTGTATGACTAGGCGGGGGCTAAAACAGCCTGCCTCGTTTGCTCACTTTGTTTCTGAGATATTTCAGTGTTTTTACGTCACAAATGCATAATGACTTAAAGTAAAATCTTGTATATCGTATTCACTATCCAGTTTAATTCATTAAAAAGCAGTTTGGAGTTGTGGGAGGATTACATATACCTATGTAAAATATCATTTAGCCTTTTTATTTCATGATATTTAACTGTACCTTACATTCTTTGATCAGTCATTATACACATGTGATGTGAATTCCGGAAATTTGCATATCAGTAAAACTGAAATAACTCAGAGACAAAGTGTGCAAATGAAAACTTCAAAATAAGTTATTATATAATTTCAGAAGTTCTTATCAGAATGAATGATAAAAAGAATTGAGGTTAGGTGCACTTTAATTAACGGAAGCGTTTGTACCGTTCGTTGTGGGCGTTCCAACGTGACATTTCTAGGTACGTATAAACATCAATCTCGAAACCAGAGCCCACAATTCTCTATGTTGGCTCTGGGAAACACCGGCGACTTTTGCACGAAAATCAGTACATTTGGATCCAGTACTACGCTCGACATTTATAAATAGAATATTACTGCCGTCAAAGATGAATTATGTCGTTGTTTAAGCTTATTACGACTTTAATTCTTCAAAGAACACTTGCCATAGTTTTGAATTGTTATAAGATACTGGTAGTGATTTATTTTAACTTGTTTAATTACGGTAAATCATGGATTGTTGTGTTATTTTAAATATTATAGGCAACGGCTTATCATGACCTTATATGGTAATGCTGCACTGTTGTTATTCTACATTTTGTTATTGGCATATCAATATCTGAATAGTCTATTGATTTCGTATGAGAAGCTAGGGAAGATTAATAAGTTTATTAAAGTTATGCTGTATGTTTCATTGATATGTTTAAACATGCATAATACACAAAGAGAAATAAACTTTATATTAATTTTAAACGATGTTTGAAATTTGAATCACTAAATACGGCTCACAGTTTGAATAATAACAAGACGCTCTACAGAGCGTTAACTCGCTGGGGCTATACAAATGAAAGCTAAATTTTGTCACCATATTTGCTCATAATTTGGTAACCGCTACAGAAAAACAGAACAATTTACAGAAAATTACAATAGATTGCGGAAGTGGGAAGGTTCTTGTATTTTGACAGCATGTAGCATACTGTAAAAGGCAGCAATTACCAGTAAGTTAGTCAAGTCTTGCTGCCGGTACCTAGGCAGTTTACAGATATAGACAAGTGTAATCAACTCGAATACAGTATAAAGTGAGACTTTACTGAGGAGAAATAGTACAGAAACTGACAGTTCAGTTAGCATTACTTGCAGATTTTTCTACAGTATACATCGCATTAGAACAAAATTCTGAAACAATCATCAGGACTATTTGAGTTTAAACATTCAGTTTGAGTATGAATTATGATTATATAATCACGGAATAAATCTTGCATCTGAACAAACCGAATTTGGCAAGTTCTTTAATGCATGGAAACCATTTCTGTAAGCTTTTCTAATGTTAATTTTTTATGAAGCGTCGATAGTTCAAATTCATTGATTTACCAGTATTCGGTCCAGTAGAGATGCCGATGTTCGTTGTACAGGTACCAATAATGAGGGACAATCAATATACGTTAGTCTTGTCCTCGAAGAATCAACAGTCGTATTTCAAGGAACTTGTGAAATCGCCAAAAAAAAACACTTTAATAGCAATATTAAATATTAATTGAATAGCGTACAAATTCACGAACAATTCATAGCGTCCATTCCGGCCCGTGATCAGAATAGTGGAGACACCACAATGAAGTTAGTGATGACATAAAATAATGCGCATCAGCATTCCATTGTAAACATATCTTCATTCATCATTTCAATTAATAGTCGAACATATTCGATGTATAAAGTGATGTGTTGAACATTTTTCTACAAAATAAAGAAATGAAGAATTACAGTGTATCAGAAAAATGAGGTCTTATATTCGATCAGTATTTCTGCTGCAATTAAATAGTGCGGAGTTTAATGGGTTATATACCGAAACGTTATTGAAACTACTGCATGGCGTACTACTATATGTCAAAATTTTTAATGAAACTACTTGTCAAAATCTTACAGTTACTGTACCTTAACAGCCTCATGATCCGAATAATACACACTTACAACGTTTGCTTCGATTTTATTGCTTATTGACTGTTTTACGTAAACATGATCGAGAAGACTTCCGGATGAAACAAATGTTGGTTTACTTACAAGTTTACGTTGCACATAATTTAAAGACTCCGCGAGTACTTTCAATGAAGAAATGTTCTTTTCATTAAAGTAATCAATATTAAAATCTCCAAATATAACGTCAATATCCAAGCTCGTTATTATGTAATCTAGGCAAACTATGAATTGCTGAATGTCACTTCCGTGCTTAAGATAAAGCAGCAGACAGGATAAGGTATTCCTACCGGAGCTATTAAGTAAAAATCGTAAACCATTTATTGAAGTGAAATAATCTGTATTACACGGTGTGATAGTGTCTTTGTAGCAAACAGTTAGACTTAAGAACTTGTCAGAATTATGATCTTGTCGGTGTGCAGAAAAATTATTAAGGATTGAATTAATATCATCATTTGGTACACTGGTTAAAAGTTGAGTTTCTGTAAGGGCAAACACATCACGTTTGGACAATAATATCAGAATGAAACAGTTTCTATTTTACATAAATCTGTTGTAATATGCGGGTGGAGACTCGAAGTTTCACGCAATCTCTCGTATTCTTCCTGGACTTTAGCATTAGCTCTAATATGTTTACTTTTAAGTGTTCCTAAAATATGCAGGCCATTTAAAGACGTTGTTCGACTAAGTGCTACATATACCTGACCATAGTTAAAATACCTTTGCTTTTTTAAATCAAAACTGACGACAATGTTATCTAGAGTTAATCCTTGTACTTTATGAACAGTGCATGCATGCCCATGCGAGAGTTACAGGAAATTGTAATCTTTGCATTTCGGGAGATGATGGTTTTCCAGGTCTGATTTTTATTCTCGCCAATACAGGTTTGATAGGAACAAAATTGTTTTCTCTTGCTGGACGAATTTCGTATAGCAGATACTCCAGCATTACTGTCATCAAATTTAACAAAAATTGTGGAGGGTTTATTACTAACATTGTCAACAGAAACTTTTATTACTGTACCTAACTGCCCATTAATTAGTCTATCGCTGATATCTACATTGGTTGTGAGCATAACTCTCGCATTTTCTTTGATCAAGATTTTAGTGTCAAGCCCTCCAGTTTCGGATCTTTCTTTAGACAGCACTCTATCGATATCCTGTTTTCTAACATGAGGTGGGAATTGATCTAAAGCTTCTAAAGCGTACTGTGGTGATTGAATTTGTTGTAGGCGATCATTATTGTACTCATATACTGGTGCATTTTCTGCAAAGATGTGTAATGCATCCGATGGATAATTTTCATCATCTGGAGTTATTGTTCTAGATTGAATACACCTGATGTCATCGTCTGTATGTGAAGCGGTGCGCACTCTATTTAATAGTTGAGTGAAGGCGAGGTCATCTTTTTGTCTCATGATCTGTGTTAGTTCTGCCATTTTAAAGACATGCCATGGAGGGTATAGTTTGAATGCATCATTCTTATAATTTAAAAATGTTGTTGTTCTTCGAATTGGTGGTAGCTGAAAGAAATCTCCGAAGACAAGTACACTGATTCCTGCAAAAAGTTGACTATTAGGTGTAACAAATATTTCTTTCAATCTCTGGTGAATATGCAGCAGACCCATGTTTGACACTACTGATATTTTATCAATTATGATTAGTTTCAATTCAGCCAAAGACAATCTCATTTGTGTTCTTCTCTGGTTAGACATTGCAGGCACATTATTACCACACTCTCTTGGAATTGCTAGAGCAGTTTTTACGGTTGTTCCGTTGATATATGTATGGCAGCTACACCAGTTGGAGCCATTAGCAATACAGAAGGTAATGCAGGATTCATTGGAGCATGTCTAAATGTTTTTGTAACAGTATGATATATAGCTTTAATTAAGTGTGATTTCCCTGCACCTCCACCTCCAGTAACAAAAACATGTATTGGATCTACTTGAGAAGGATTAAGTGTGTTTAGGTTTGCCATCTTATTTCTACACCAGGAAAGAACTGCGTCATATGCATAACGTTGTTTGTTGTTCAATGATCTTACAGTTTTTCGTAGATCGTCGTCACTGATTTCTAAGGGTTGATTATAAGAACTTATTCCAGAAAATGGTTGAACTGATTCAGGATTTGCTGCAAGATGTTGTGGCAACGATTTGTTAAAAGACTCGGTTTCATCAGAATCGTCACGTAAACGTTCTCGCAAATCTTCATTTTCCTGGTCATTTATTGGATCATAGGAGTTAGTTGGTACGCCTTCAAAGTTTCGTAAATTTTCTAGTGCTTCATTAATAGCATCACCATCTGGCTCAAATATTTCTTTGTTGCGTTGTACTATCTCTTGAACATCTGGCTCATAAAACTTAGATATGTATGTATGGTCTTCGCCAAAGAGTTCCTGCTCATTAAGCCACGGAAAATATAACATGAGAAGGTGGTGAAAATATTTTTCAGGCTCTTTTCTTTTGTTTGGAGTGTGATATCGAATGACAGCTTTAATTTTTCTGCACTTCATAATTTCCTTGCTGTTTACAAGTTTTATTCGATCGGGAAGTCCAGTGTTATGATTTTCGATATTTTGAGATTCAATGAAGTCATCGCTTACCACTTCAGGTTGAGAATCAGATACTTCGTTAAAATCACTTTTGTAATCTTTCAAATAGTGAGCAGCAAATAAAGCTAAACACATATCATTAACGACAGGAATATTTTTTGGTCTGTCACTGTAACGGACAATAATGTTAGACTTAAAAATGTCAGTACTATCATCATCTAGCTCATCAAGTTCTTGTTGTTTCTTTGCAAATCTAACGCGATTTTCAGCAAAATCCGTGCTAACAAAGAGAGTTTTCGAGAATATTTTTCTTAACCAGATTTCAGGCATACATCTGTAAACGCATTCTTGAGCACTGACTTCACGAGTCGAGAGAAATGCTGCACCTATTTTTCTTAGGCCATCTCTTACATTTTCGTTGGCTTGTTTAGCCTCTTTTGCTGCATTTATGATGGCTTGAGAACATTCAGTTTCATCCTTTGTAAAGTAAGAACAAACGTATGTGATACACTTGTAACGATTAAACACTGGTTGCAAGTCAACATTTGCGGCAAATCCTTTTAAGCCAGCAATAAAGTAATTGTTGATAAAACAACTATCTATTGGTCTTTTGAGGTGTAATTCATAGTTAGAGTCTGGAGATAATGATATAGCCCATTGATAGTCTTGCTCTGTAATATCTATATCATTTAGGATGTTAGTTGGCGCGCGTTGCATGTGGATCATAAGTAGGTTTGCTTGGGTTTAGCACATCATCAATTTTTTGTTTAACTTTAGACAAATTCTCCTTTCGTCTGGTTAGAATATTTGATTTTAATCTCTTCATCCATATCTTCAGCCAAAGGTTCAGCAACAATTGTTCTGTTAGTAAAAAACTGTCCAAAGTTAAATCTACATGCAACATTCTTATACTTTCTACAGGTTTTACTGTGATTATGTGTCTGGTACGTTTTTACCAAGTCATAAAGTTCAGGATCTGTTTCTTTGTCCTGGAGGTATGCTTGAACATGTCGGTCAATGTAATCTATGTATGCATCTTTTGTATCATTCGTTAAGTCCGGGCAATCAGATGTCCATATTAATGCATGCAAATGTGGTGAACCCCTCATTTGAAATTCAATACGGAGGGCATAATATACTATCTTACCGACTGGGTTTGCATTTGTAAGCAAAATATCCCTGAAAAATGTTTCGACTCGATACTGGAAATGTTTAGCTACAATAACTGGATTAAAATTTAACATTGTGCATCGCCCATGATAGGATAGAGCGTCTACTTCTTCACTTGTTATGTTGTTTCCTTTTGTTCTTGCAATAATCTGAAATAGTTCAGGCCATCTTAAGTCTGCCCATGAAAGCGTCATAAACCATGTTGGTATTCCCAGTTGTTCAACCATTGCTACCACTTCATACATGAATTTTTGCCAGTAAGGAGGTGAGCCAGGAGTTTGTCGTAAAAATAAATATGCTTTGTCTTGCAAAAGAAGATTTTGAAAAGTTTGACTGTTTGATTTTACTTGTGATGCTGTGACTGACTGCCCATGTATTTTTTTAAGAGCTATATTTATACTATCAGAGATCTTTTTCTGTTCCATAATGAATTGTGCAAAGAATAGGTACTCTGGATTGGCTGCAAATTTCCCACTATAATGCAAGAGGCGAGCATTGAAATATTTTATTGGAGATAATTTAATGTCTCGTTCAACAGTGTATCCAAATCGTCCCTTTGGAAAGAGTACTGGAAATGAAAGTTCCTCACAAAGTTTATCAGTCATCAATAATACTGGGTGTTTACCTTCACCTGGTACAATGTTAAAAATTTCTCTACCTGTTGAATTATCACAGTTTCTATAGAACAGATTAACAGGATAATTTGGCAAGATGAACTGAAGACAGGTTTCAGTTGCAGCTGAACGGTGTTCATTTAATTGGGCATCTTGTTCTTCAGCATCTTCATTAAGAAGTTTTCTATTTACATTAGTTTGCAAATGCTTGTCTATATCTTCTTGATCTGTAACAAGACAGTTCAAATTAGTCAACTCTGGGCTGATGTTTTCACATTGAATTTCAACGTTTCTATATAACGGTTTGTTCGCTATAAGCCAGTTTAATGCACTAATTACAAACTGAGGACGAACTGCTTGGAAGTAAACATGACCTCTAAATTGAAGTTTCCTTTTTAATTTAAGTAAAATTATCCCAGATCTGTCAGGTGGTCTGGGAAGAACATTGCATGTTTGACTACATTCAACTGGTACATTACATATTGCACCTTTAATTTTTCTCTGCTGTCGTTTCGGCATTATTACAATTTTTTCAAAGACTATTCTCTGGGCAACAAGAATTTGTTTAAGTTTCTCTAATGCAGCAAGTTCAGTGGGGGTTTCATCAACCAATAAATTATTTACCACAGCTTGACAAGGCTGTTGACCTTCAAGTAGTTTAGCATGACACGTTTTGCAGACATATTCTTTGCCATCAAAAGAACATTGAAGCATAAAACAATCCTGGCGAGGATATTTATTTTTCTGTATTACTACTGACTTTTTATACAGCGTTCGGTTACACACACAACATATGTAAAATGGGCCAGAATTAATTTGTTTTTAAAATTTTTCAATGTACATGTCAATGTGATGAGTTACAGATTTCTTTTCCATCCATTTTTCTTTCTCTCTATTCAGCAAATTATTTTTTTGTGCTGGATCCAACGACATGCGATTTTACATGATTTTGCTTGAAATCATAGCACTCAACTCCTTTTTCTTTGATATATCCATTGCTTGATAATTTACTCTTTTATTCTCCAGTATTTTCTGTTTTTGTTCTTCTCCCATTGTTTCCTTATAATTCATATTTTTAGTAAGCAGTTCCTCTTTCTTTGATTGATCCGTTCCTTCATATTTAGCTCTTTTATTCTCCAGCGTTTTTCGCTTTTGTTCTTTGCTCATTGTTTTTCTATAATTCATATTTATAGTAAGCAGTTCTTCTCTCCTTGATTGATCCATTTCTTCATATTTTATCCTTTTGTTCTCCAGTACTTTTTGCTTTTGTCCTTTATTCATTGTTTTTCTATAATTCTTATTTTTGGTAAGCCGTTCTTCTTTCTTTGATTTATCTAACATTTCATATTTTGTCTTTCTGTTTTCCAATATTTTTTGTTTTTTTCTCCTGAGCCATAATTTTGCAACCATTACGCGTTTAGAGATAACTTGTTGTTTTATTAATGGATCCATTGTTTTGTATTTCATCCGCTTTGTTTCTAGTTTCCGTTTCTTTAGAGCTGGTTCAATGAAATCATTCATATAGTTTTGCCTGTGGTTTTTCATAATCCTTTTTTTTTACAGTTGGTCAATTCAGAAGAACAAGTCAAAAATTGAATTTTATAATTGACAATTCCATCCTTGATTTTGGTGGTTGCTAGGTTAAAGATAACATCAACTAAAGTATGCTTGTTGTTTATGTTTTTAATGTAATGTGCAGTGCGTGTGGGCGAGCTATCATCATCATCATATGCTAATATCGAGTATGACACATTCTTAATGGATGTCTTTTGAAAGATGCTAGAAATACAATAATCTCCAAACCAAATTAAAAACCCTGTGTTTTCATTAGTATGACAAATAAGGCTTTCAATGTGTAGTTTGCTTTTTGCCTTGTCATAAACTATTCCTTGAATATTAGCTTGCAATTTTACATCTATTTCAGTTCCACATATTTCAACTTTTTGAGGTATATCACGAGATGTATTTATCCCAGTGTTGTTATACAAAGTAGTGCCAAAATAAACAACTGCGGCCACTGTATTTGAATCCCAGTGATTACAAGGTTTAATAACAGAATAACAAATCGAGTATAATGAAATCGCACAGCATTGTCTACATAAACAAGAAACATCAGTACTTTTAGATTCTTCAGAGGCATTACCTGATAAGGCAGAATTTCTAATGCTGTTGTTTACGTTCTGGTCACCAT